AACATGCATGCTCAATTAACACAGCTCTTCAATATCTTTCATTCGACCTGAACAAATGCATCCAATGGGCATTTCAATTGTGGCATACTGTTTTTATTGCCAACGTAAAAGCGTCAAACAAAGAATTTGGAGAAGTCCGTCGTTACCCGGCTTCAAAACGCACTCACAGGCACAACTTGGACTTTGTCTCTACTGCTACCTTGTTGATGACCAAAATGATCAATTTGAAAGATGGAAAAGGGCAAGAATTTAATATCAGTGTACTCGAAACAAAAATTGCCAAGCTGTTGAGAAATGACGAAACTTATCAAGTCAAAGAAGTTCCAATTTTCAAAAAACTCAACCATTTCACCGATCTCGCATACATTAAAATGCCTCCACTTACTAACTACCTTAAACATCCGGACAAATTAAGCCACTTGACAATTCATCCCATTGACCCATTCAGTGACGATCAGCTTTTCCTCAAATTTTATCGTTCATCATTCGCTCTTCGAAAATTCAACTTCACCAACAACTTACTCAGCGTTAACAAATTGCGACCCCTTTTTAAAACTTCTTCCTTTTTGTGGGCTTCTCGATTTACTAGAATCATCTAAACTGATTTAATTGTATTTTAGGAAATTTTTATCCTTTTAATATAATTGTATTGCAAACTTTTTAAGCCATAGATATTTGTCCATTTGACTACAGCATTTTATTCGCAAATAAAACGCGTTTTAAAACGCGCTCGCTTTTTCAAGTACAAATGTGTAGTTTGGCATCATACTTTGAGCCCTCTGGACAGTTGAACTCGTAGTCCTTAAGCTTGCCAGAAAAGTTGACACACTGGTGGAACTTGCGCGGATCCTTCGGGTCGGGGAAGAAGCCGGCCGACTTGCAGTGGAACTTGCCACTGTGGTCTGGCTTGTCAGTCACCGGGGCGTCAGTCTTGGGCGCGTGAGTGTGCGGGCCGTCGGTGTGAGGACCGTCGGTGATCGGGGGGTCAGTTTGGCCGCCGGGGTGAGGAGTGGTGGCGTGCGTTCGCGGAATGGTCACGTCGGGGCCGTCAACTGGTGCAGACGAAAAGGTTGGTTTTAGCAAACTGTAATAATTTGTTGACTGTTGACATTGAGCGCCTACCTTTGTTCAGTACGCGACTGATCTCCTTCAGCAGCGGGTACTTGACGCCACAGTGGCCAGAGAAGTCGTCAGTGTCAATAGACCAGATCATGCCACCGCCCAGTTTTCGCTCGAGAAGAAAGTCAAGTTTGTACTTGATTGACTTTTCATTGTCGTAGCCAATCCACTGCGAGGCACTGGTAGCGTAGGGAACCTTCTGGGTGTCATTCCAGTGCACACTCCAGCCACCCTTGACCATGGCGCAAATTTCATTGTATCCCAGCATGCCAATGATTCGGGTAATTGGGCCAGGAGAGCCTCCCTTTCCAGTTCTGAAAAATTAGTAGTAAAAGGGCGTTAAATACAAAATAAAAAGATGCTCATTAGGACATACACTGGGGCACCGATTCCAGTTTCCGATCCTTTCAGAGTGAAGGTTCGGCCGTAAAGAGGAATGCCAAGAACAATCTTCTTTGGGTCCGCGCCAAGCTTGATCCAGTAGTCAACTGAAAATGACACAGTAAAAGAGTGCTCAATTCCAGTGGAGCCGGGAAGAGGGTAGAGCGGGGCGTTGTGAGCAGCGTGCGTGTCCCAGCCGCCTAGAAAATGTGTACAATAAGATAATTAGTTCATTTCAGTCATTTAGAGAATACAAGTAAACTCCTCACCGTGGTAATCATAGCACATCAAGTTGATGATGTCCAGATACTTGGATACTTGCGGAACGTCGTAAGCCCGGTCGATTGTAGGTTTGCCGGCTGAGACAGCAGCCGACAAGATAAATCCGTAAGGCTCAAACGCAGCCCGAAGTTCTCGAAGTAGCGAAATGTAATCGGCCTTGTCTGCATCACGGCCAGGAGTTCGGTCTTGATCATTGACTGCTTTCATTGCGGGGTACTCCCTGAAAAATAACAAAATTATTTGTAAAAACTTGCTATAAGTTAAAGTGATAATTTCTACATACCAATCAAGGTCCAAGCCATCAAGTTCGTACTTTTTCAGAAATTCCACAACACTTGCTACAAAAGTGGCTCTTGAGCCTGCGTTAGAAACCATAGCAGAGTACTTGTTGGATCCTTCGTTCCAGCCGCCAATTGAAATCAAAGTGGCAAGGTTAGGGTTGTACTTCCTCAGCTCGGTCATGCGACGAATCCTAAGTGTATAACAATTATCATAATGCTATAAACTAACACAAATTACATTCATTAATTTACATTCCATGTCCCCAAGTAAGACCACTCTGCCAACTCTCATCGCCAAGGTCTAATCCGTCGTCGTAGGGAGCGATTCGATTAGATGCATCAAGCTTGGCAAAACCGTAGTTGATATGTGTACACAAGTCTATTCAAGATAAACATAATTAAACATGTCAAAAGTCGTTTTAGGAAAATCTTACGTGGATTAATATTTTCTGCTTCAAACTTGCCATCTCCACCTGGCCGGTAATATGCCTAATTAACACAGGTAAATAAAGTTTAAAAATTTGTAAAATTTAAAAACGTTTTTTACAACTTACCCAAGTTCCTTTATTGATTAATTAACGAAAAGTTGACAAAATTAAAGTTTGTTTCTGGTTTTTTGTAAAATTCAACTTACCCCAGTAGCACACAACATGATGCGGCAGCTTGTTCCGCTGGTTAGCCTTGTCTCGGGGCCATGCGCCGGAAACAAAAGTGGCGGTTGCCACGATGAGCAGAGAAAAAAGTGTCAGCTTCATTGTGCCGCGTTGGGGCTTTCCACTTTCGGCTCAGTCCTGATCCAGTGCATTTTTATATAGTTGAGCCAGCTCTAACTGCTCTGTTCTAGCAAAGATAACAGCAGCGTAGGTATATCTCACAGGTAGGTCACAAAGATGCCTACCAGATGATGATGATTGCCGTTACAATCAACTGGCGACGCGTACCTATTGCGCCCATCTGTCGCTATTGACAGTGGGAAAGTAGTTGCATTGCCAGTTTCCACACTGGCTAGAACACTAGCGTTATTTGGCCAGATCTCAGAGCTAATCTTCTGAGACACTTTGAAGTGATAGGTGATTGATACCGTGTGACATCGAGCGCACATATCGATGTCACTCTGTCTACTGCTGAGAAATTTGTTTACTCAAACGGGGGATTCTCACTCAAATCCTTTTAGCCGTACTCGTGATTCAAACGTGATGCATCATGTTGGTCAATTGATAAGCTGATTTTCAAGCACACGTTTACTCAACTTTTTTTATTTAGTGATTAAATTACCACAAACATTTTGCGAAGGATCAAACACCGATTTGCCTGGACAGGTAAACACAAAGTCTTTTAAGACTCCATTCATGTCAACGCAATTGTGAAACTTTTTCAAATCTTTAAAATCAGGGCT